TAATAAATTATTTCTTGCATAGTCTATTTAACGTTTACATCTGCAGTACACCTTTGGGCCACATGAGGGAGCCTGCATGCTCATATTGTTGTAATAAGTGTAGCCGACTTATAAACCTGAATCCAACATGAAGGGCTCGTGCACATTCTGTTTGCTTTACTGATGAGAGCGGGAAACGGGAGCCTGATATTAACTCCACCCAAATGTATGTTGATGAGAGGAGAAGATATCTTGTTAACTCCACTTAGATGCAGTTGGTCTCATTGATAAAGTATTAATGGCTGGTTTACCTATTCAAGATCATATATGGTGATGAGGAAATGGCATTCAAAATGGTGAGGAACGTTCATTTGCACACATTAATTGTGACGATTTATAGATCAGGCCTATTGTGATTTCATTTGTCAAAAGTTGGTCCCAAAAAAACTTTGGGAAACACTAGGCCGGCTGAAAATGGCGCTCTGAAAAGAGGTCTGCATTTCCAGCATCTATTCCCGGATGCACAGACAACATGCTTCACACACAGACACACAGCGGAAATGTCACTCGTGGAAATTAATTTTCTCAATTTCACAACAAATGTGTTTTCTGTAAATAATAATAATAAATAACCCTCTGTAAATAACCCCCAGTGTAAGGCTTTGTTTTTAATTGAATATTATTTCATGGCAGGGAAAAAATAATTAAAAAAAGGTCCATATCTGGTTGCTGAATAATTACAAACGTAGTAGTGTAGCATAATCTCATTTATTCGAAAAAAGGAAATAGGGACGTCTGCCTCTATTCAGATGTGTTTGTGTGTTTGTGACCTGATGTAGAATACATTTACACCAAATTCATGTTTAGTGCTAAAGTAATTTACTCAGTAAAATATTACAAACTAGATAGCCCAGTGGGTTCCAACCTCAGGGTCAAGTCCCCCCCAAAGGATCTTGAATAATGAAATGGAAAAAACTAAAAATTGTATTCCTTTCTTGCAGCTTCTCACGAGCCTTTGTCTTTAAATATTCATCCAAATGAAAGCATTGGAAAGGTTTGGAGGGAACATCTGTTATTACAAACACTGAAATCTGAAACATGACAAGGGGCCCCAATTAGACACAAGGGTGTGTGATTAAATACAGCTTGTATTTTCAAAGCTTTTGATATCTGAACCTGAAAAGGAACTATAACGGCATCCGTCAGACAGATGCAATGGGGTAAAAAAAAGTGCAGTATTAGTGCAATCAAATGAAATAATCAGCAGATTAATCACAAACAAAAATGATGGTTACAATAGCTGCAGCCCTGAAATATTTAGAGAAATCAGACAGGATCTGAAATATCAAACATGACTAAAAAACATTCAAATGAAAAAGTGAACATCAGAGCAGACGAGAGGAGGCCTGAATAAAACTCTTAATAATAGAGCTGCGCTAATTAATGATGCATCGCGCCTTGAAGCCTCTCTCCCCGGTAACAGCTCAGAAACCCGTCAACTCACTTCAGACGGCTGCCATGTAACGTCACGCTGTCTGTCCGGGCTCCGCAGTACATTTTGATTATCTAGCAGTGAGAAGACACAGTTGTTTCAATGACATGGCTGCCCCGCTGCCTGTCTGCCAAATGAAAGCAGAGCAGTGCCATCCCCAGAGGAGCTTAATGATCCACACACACACGTACGCACACACGCGCACACACGCAGACAGACACACACAGAGACAGCAGCTTATTGATCACTGTCAGGTCTGTCTATAGACTGGAAACAAGCCTCTAAGCAACACAAAAATTAGGACACTGATGATTTGTTAGTTAAACAAACTTTGTTAGTTTGTTAGGGCAGGGCTAACACCCACCCACCCACCCACACACACACACACACACACACTCCCTCATTTTGGCACACTTACACACATTCGGAGAGAATCGCCAATACCCCCAATCTCTCACTCACTCACTCTCTCTCTCTCTCTCTCACACACACACACACACACACACACACACACACACACACACACACACACACAGTAATTGACTGATATGGAACAGTGAACAAGGCGTTTTTGTCCCTTTTTTTTTTTTTATTATGTCTGGCACCGGACAATTCTGGATGCGTCTCCGACAGAAACGACAGCGTGGGTGTCCGAGAGAGAAAAAGACAGAGAACAAGGGAAAGAGGGAATCAAGCATGGCAACGAGAAAACATTCAGACGGAGAGGAGCGAACCGCGTGAACCTTTACAACTCCCGCCCCAAGTCTCCATTGTGCCGCGCAAGAGCCACATTGGTCAGACAAAGCCATGAAATATGAACACACAAGCATTGAATGAGGCGATTGGTCTCGGCCAAGGCGGAACCAAACAGCTTCAGTTGTCTGGACGAGGCATCTCCAGTTTTTGGATGAGCCCGCCCGCCTGCCCGTCTGGGCAAAGAACTAACTGTGACACTCGGTGTAAAAGAAGGCGCCAGAGAAGTGGGGAGAGAGAGAGAGAGAGAGAGAGAGAGAGAGAGAGAGAGAGAGA